CCGATCCCGATCAGAAATTCATCAATCCCGATCGACCCGCGCGTTCACACCGCTTTTTGCTGATCCGGATTGCCAGGGCATCACGCTCAGAAATGGATTGAGGTGTCACGAGCCCCGCCATCTTGAACATGCCATAGCCGCTGCAACTCCGCCGAAATTTTGCAAGAAAAGAACTCAGAAAGCTTGTACAGCCTGGAATCTTAGCGGAAATAAAGAGAACACCTCTTTGAACATGTTTGGGTGGTCAGGGTTTAGCTCCCGTTGCGTGAAGGCCGATATTTTTCGGGCTGTAACACTCGATTCCACTGGCTCGCCATTCCACTTGAGTGTAACGTTGGGGCAGGGAGGTTGGGGTAAACATCTTTCTGCATATTTCTATTCATAATTTTGATTGGCAATGTATCCATAGCATTACACAATGTCCTTGTCACTGCATATTATAAGACCCGATCGGTAGTGGTAGTATTTGTGGTCAGTCTCACACTAGCGAACCCCGAACCCAATCCACTTTGCGTTCACACTCAAGTTTACGCCCGATCCCGATCCGCCGCAAGTGTCTTGAACTACCTCCCCGAGGTGGATTACGCTTGGATCGGGATCGGAGAAAATCAATCCCGATTGGAGCGTTCACACTGCGAAAACCGATCCGGATTGACTTCATTTGCATAATTTTGATCCCGATCGGCGGCCGATCCGGATCGACAAGTTTCACTGTGAACGGGGTGTAAGTTATATTTTCATTTTTTTAAAGATTAATGAAGCTTCTGCCCCAAAAACCACCCCTACGCTGGTTGAAACACAGTGTAGGGGGCTAAATCACAGCGTAGGGGGTCAAAATCACAGCGTAGGGGGCCCCTACGCTCAAACAGCCTGGTGAGAACTATGATTAGGTTCTCCATTAGTGTGAATTTAACATAACTCTTCCTGGAGTCTGTAGTGAATAATCAGATTAGTAAGTATTTGGACCATCGCACACCGGGGCATTATAACGTCCCCTACTCTTTTTTGAAAGGTGTGGTGGGTTCTTAAACGTGCGTGGGGTGTGACCTTCCCCTAACACAGGTACTAGCTCCATCCAAAGTGTGCTTTATTCTCACAAGTGTGCTTTGTTGCAGAATAATGCACACCCTGGAGCAATTTACCATTATGCAGGGGTGTGGACTCTTTTTGCTGACATTTGTAGCACGTTTCCTTGTTGAATAGAAATGTTTACAGTGTCATCAACCAATTTATTTAGCATTAATACATAGTCCTATCCGAGGGATGTCCCTCAAAGCTAGGTGCTCATTTTCACCTGTCAGTGAGTGAAGTGAGGAAAGTCGTGTAATATATAAAGTGCCTTTCCCAAGGCCACACTTCTAAAGATCGTTGACACTTGGTAAGATTTGAACCCGGAACCTCTTGGTTCAAGGCTGAACACGCTACACCACACGACCCCACAGGCCAATTTACTTAGTTGCAGAGATAACATATTTCGAACACCAACATGTCCACCTGCCCTGTCCAAACAACATCCTGAATATTGTTATTATATATATAATTTACAGGGTAAACATAATAAACCGATTACAGTGACTCAGCATGTATATTTGTGAGTGCAGTTATAAAATAACAATGTGCCCTTAACAGCATTATGCCATATAAATCTCGTATTATGGTCTGTAAATCAAAGACAGAGTAAGAATAAGAGTGGATATAAATAATAATAAGACATTTGGAAGTATTAAGTAGCCTGGTTACCAAACCTATTATAGCTCCCGAGTCCTACATCCTCTTCGCAAATTTGTGGAGAGGATGTACTAGGACTAGTATAATAGGTTTGGTAACCATGAGGCTAAGTATTAAATTCTTAGTTGATTGTAAACTTATTGGTACATTTAACGTTACACTTACAGGTATCTTGATTGTGCATGATTATATCACAATATAGTTTTAATAACTTGAATTTCATCTTTTGAAGTTGCTACCCTAGCCTCCTTGCACCATTTTCCACCAAATGTCATGCCCCCCCCCCTCTTCCCTTCCTTTCCTAGTATTAGACTTTGAACCAGGATGTTTTGGTGAGCTGTACTAGAGTAATTGAATTTAAGTGTAACTGTGAAGCAAACAAAAACTCTGCCAGCTTTAAACTCTATCACAAACAACTTTTACCCCCCACATAGAATACAAGGTTCTCACCAGGATTTTTTCGCAGCATAGGGGTCAGGCACAGAAGAGCAAGTCGTTTTTTGGAAATAAAGGTTGAAAGGTTTGGTTGAAATGTTTATTCATCAAAACACATGGCAGCCATAGTGATAGGCTGAATTGCGTGTTTTACAACTATGACAGATTTAAAAATACAATTAAAAGTACATGCTTGACCATATTAAATTTAAGTCGTGCATTAAGCCGAACATTTTGGAACTCATAGCACCCAGACAGAGGGACAGATTTTGTGAAGCTTTAGGTTTTTCCCTTTGCTATAGCTCCATTTTAAAGTTATATTTTTACTGTTTGCAATATTTATGGTCCCCCCCCCAACACCCCTATGCAGGTTGAAAGACAGCATAGCTATAGGGGTCCAAATCACAGCATATATATAGGGGGGCCTGCAAGGGGGGTCCCGACAATGCTCTACGCTGAATTCGGAAACCTCTCGATTACGCTTTACGATAATTGCAAGTGGCTACAACGCTTACGAGCGGTCCGTCTACGCTCTACGTAGAATTAAAATGGCCGATTACGCTCTACGGAAAAGGACTTGCGGGCCTCCATATAGGGGGTCCAAATCACACAGCATAGGGGGCTCAAAAGGCCTGGCGAGAACACTGCAATAAGACTCATGAGTCATGACTGTCAGGGCTCTAGCCAGCTTTAATTTTTTTTTTCTGTCAGCCCAGGTTTTGAGGAGGGGAGCACTGTAGGTGTGATATAAGTACCAAAGATGCTCGCAATGATTTTTGACTATATACAGTGTAGTTTTCAGTAGTCCTCCGGATGTGTTCATATTTTTACCCACAACATTTGTTTGTTTTGTCTGTTGAGGTTGAAGGACTGGTTTTAAGATATTCCTGTCAGTGTCACACCCCACATTTAAAGTTCCTGTAACTGACGGGAAAACTGGTGCTGGTGACTGTCCTGTAGGCTAGTGCAGTGTTCTGTGACCTTCACCTAGCTTAAGCTTAGTGACCTTGAGTTTAGGGCACCTGACCAGAACACAATCATTCATCGACTGTTGTGTTTATAACGAGTACCAAAACCAAATCTGTCAGGTGAACTTTTGTTTTTTTTTAAGTTAACATAATAATAGACTTAGATTTGTGAAAAATTAACTTTATGGATCCGATGAAATTTACATTGATGTTGTCCTGTTTGCTCCCAAATCAATCCATTAATCAATCAATCAATCAATCAATCAATCAAGGTTGATCTGCAACCTCCAACACACTGTTAGAAATTGGACTTGCCCAAATTTTTTAAGTCGTACAACTCCAGTGCTCATTCCTGGACAAAGACTGGAGTTGTACAGTCAAAAATTTGGCCAAGTCCAATCTCTTGTGTTGGAAATTGCAGTTTAAACTGCTTCATAATGACTTCTACCAGCACAGATGAACTTTCACACTTGGTAACAGATAAGTTACCTTATTCTTCTTGAATCCAGTGTCCCGCACATCCAGTAGACACAAATGTCCCTCCTTGACGACTCTGGCCATGTTACATTCTGCCATCTGGCCCTGGTGGTGGATGGTTGTTGGCAACCGACGTTACCTACAAAACAATTGTATACAACACGTTACAACACAAGTCATATTTGTTTAACACGTAAACTAAAGTAAAGAGGCAGGAAACATCTGCCTGCACCAAATTACAGGCAGATGTTGGGGTGATAATATCTTCTGCCTGCACAGCTACTCTTAAAAGCAATCTGTACCCTGACATCTACATTTTGTGCTTGGAGATGATGCTATGTATACTGTATAGGTACTAGTAGTAACCTTATGCTGGTGTGTTACACCAAAGGGCAGTTATACCGGCTATACCAATACAGAAGCTGGTGTGTTACGCCGAAGGACAGATACAGACGCTGTGTTACACAGAAGCTGTGTTACACAGAAGGGCAGTTATACAGATACAGAAGCTGGTGTGTAACGTTGAAGGGCAGCTAAACCGGCTATACAGATGCAGAAGCTGGTGTGTTACACCGAAGGGCAGCTATACCGGCTATACAGATACAGAAGCTGGTGTGTTATGCCAAAGGGCGGTTATACCGGCCATACAGATACAGAAGCTGGTGTGTTACGCCGAAGGGCGGTTATACTTATACCGGCTATACAGATATGTAGAAGCTGGTGTGTTACGCCGAAGGGCGATTATACCAGCTAAAGTCTTAGAGATTTTCATTTTAGACATTCAGGAAGCTTCAAATAGATGCTCCATGTTCCAGACAAACAAAATCTAGTTTAGCCTTTAGGCTCTAGTCTATGCATGGCAATTATCAAATCAATTTTTACTAACTCACTAAATCAAACACCCGTGGTGAGTGGTGAAAGAACCTTGGTTTAAGACCACAGGGACCCTAACCTCCGTGAACACGACAATTTTGAGTCAAATATAAAATCACATCCCAATATCAATCATATCAAAAGTTTTCAAGTTCACGCCTTAGGTACATGTAAGTTACAAACCCACCTTGGATGTCACTTCCTGGAGTTTCGTCCAAAAAAAATCATCTTCCAAAAGACTATCAGTGCAGCATAAAAAGCCAGAAAAGTATAAACTGTTTTTGTTTTGGCTGGCACATCCTGTCTTATATGTGGTATCGGCTCTGCATGGTTACTTCTGACGTTAAAGCAGGTATTTTTACCTGAATTGAAACCTTAAACCTGACTAAATTCAGCTTAATTCTACCTGGGTGACCCAAACCTCACGTCACGTTTTCCATATACGTCAGGGACTGCAAAAAAATCGCAACAAATAAATAATCAGAACAAATTGAAAATATAGACTACAATCCTACACAGAACACATAATATGATGGTAAAATAAAAATTAGTAAATATTTCTATGTTTAAAAGGTATAAATGACATTCAAATGTTGGTATATTTGAGGAAAATTTTAATTTGTGGTGGTTGCGTTTGCGTGCTATGTAAAGGTGAAAGGTGAACATCCGGGCATTGCAAGGTGTTGTGCGTCCGCCATTTTGCGTGGGAAGAACCTCGTCGACTCATACTAGAGTCAGAGTCGGTCTTTTTTTACACCACATTGTTCCTAGAACTTATTAGTCAGGTCAAGATACAGTCATGGGACGGAAGAAGAAGAAGCAAATGAAGCCTTGGTGCTGGTATCCTTTTCTTGCCTGTTTTTAGTGCTCAAGTAGTAGTGTGACGTATTTTCTTGGGGTGGGGTGGGGGGCAGTGTAACAAAGGAAGATATGTTTGTGTACTGGTAGTTTTGCCAAATTTGGTAACGTTTGGTAGAAACATCGTAAGCCACCTGTCACAGTTACGAGCAAACTGAGTCACTGATCAGTCAAGTTCACTGTAGACCATCTATACATGAACTTGAATTATGAAGATGAGGAAATAGTAAAAAAAAAATGTTGTTACCCTGGTTTGGTTGGTGCTCTTCTAGAAAAAAATGTGCTGACCTTTATTGTTTCTTTTTCTTTCAGCGTGTTCATGCAACTGTTAAAATTCATTATTAACATGTAATGTTAAATTATGGACTTCTTCCTTCAGGCATAATTTTAAAAAAAAATTTTTTTTGGCCTTGAGAAAAATTATCCTCATCATCTTTACCCCCAAATGACCCAATCACGGGCTAAGTTGGGGGAGTTAACATCTCTCAGGCCTCCAGCCCTGCATGTGGTGTAAATGGTAGCATGTGCAGCCTAGGACCAAGAGGTCCCGGGTTCGAATCCTACCATGTCACCGATGCTTTGGGGTCAAAATTAACCATCCTACTATACATAGCATTTATTTGGTACGGCTACAGGTACAGGGGATAAACTTCTTTTTCAATACTACTTAGCCTGCAATACAACAGGTTGATATTTGATTTTCTGTGAACTGTTCCTTAACCAGAGATTTTACCAGGTATTGCAACAGGGAGTTTGAAGATGAGAAGATTCTTATGCAGCACCAGAGAGCAAAGCACTTCAAGTGTCATATATGTCACAAAAAGTTGTACTCGGGACCGGGGTTAGCAATTCACTGTGTACAGGTACGTATCTGCTGTTCGATCACTCCACTAGTATCTGCACAGGATATGCAAAAAACACAGCCAGACGTGTCAGGTAGCATCCACTACCTTTCGTCAGTGACACTAGAGACTTGTGCTTGTAAGATAAACCTGCCTTTCTGCACAAGTCTCTCTTGTTACTGACGAAAGGTAGTGGATGCTACCTGAAACGTCTGACCGTTTCGTTGCGTAAGTAACTGTTTTTTGGTGTATCTTATTTAAGTTATTACCTGGTTAACCTTCACTGACATATATGCACAGATAAGTTCTATTTAACATAATTTCCACCAATTTTTTCCATAGACCAAGCATAACTTGGTAGTTAGTATTCATAGTAAAATGTTGAACTTTATTCCAACAAGGGTACACAGAGATCAGATTTTGAACGATCACTGTTGCCTTCATCGGGATAATAAAAAAAGATGCCGTTATGTTTCTCTCACTTGTAGGTACATAAAGAAACAGTCGATGCAGTACCAAACTCCTTACCAGGGAGAGCGGACATCGAGTTGGAAATCTACGGGATGGAGGGGATTCCAGAAAAGGACCTGAAGGAGCACGAACGACAGAAAATAGGTCTGTTGTGGACTAACTTCTGGGGGACAGTCCCAAAACAAAAGAATATCAAACTAGTTGACTTCAAATGAACTGAGTCAACGAACAGTTAAGGTGTTCTTCTACTGGTTGTGACGGACAAGACATGATACAGTCTTACAGTACCGGGGACATTCCCCTAGCTCTTTTCTACAAATACAGTTAACTATGGGCCATGGCTGTCGTAAGGATTGTGGCCATTTTCAGTAGCATCATATGCAAACTTGAAACATTGCAAAAACCTCCTTTATCATTCTGTTGTAAAGTTAACTCCCATAGAAAACAAATGAAATCACAGTAATTAAGAAATGTCTTCAATTATGTTTCGGAACCCTTGTTCCTGTGAAACTTTGTGCTCGTGTGACAAGAGGTATATTAATTGATCTGACAAAACTATTTACAAAATGTCTTGAGCCTTCTCCCTGCTGCCTAATCCCATAACCAGTACAAACTTTGTACCAAACAGCTACCTTAGCAGGCTGAAGGTTAATAATAGTTCTCTGTACCCACACTAGCTGACGAGGCAGCAGAAGCGGGAGGGGCGGGGCCGGTACCAAAGAAACCGAAGACAGACGCGGGAGAGGGAACATCGTCGCAGCCGCAGGGCCAGATGCCCACGCCAGCTGCGTCCATGGCACCTGGGCCTGTTCCAGGTGTTCCACCTGCCATGCAGCCCATGCCAGGTGAGGTCATGTGTGTTTGTTTGATCAGGATCTCCATTAGTGTGCCAGTTCACACTATTCTTCCTGGAGTCATAGTGGTGATGTAAATCACCATGTGATCTTTTTTTGCAAGTAACATTGGAAATTACCGGCACCAGACAAATCTCACCATTCAGAACTTAGGATCATACTAAAACTGTTCAGAAATCTTTGCTGTTTTTCTTTTAGGATTCATTCAAAGCTTAGCTAGTATCAGTCAATACCCTTTAAAAAAACCACATACCCAGATAAACCTAGTACATGGCCCATTGCAGGCTAGACATTAGAAATACTTGCACGGCTCCAATTTTACCTGCACTAACCTGCATGTGCAGGTGGTATTTCAAGCCAGGTACTGTGTTGTAATGAAATAGGAATACCATGTGCTACACATTTTGTAGCTAAACAGTGCTATGTTGCTAACAAAGTTACATGTAGCTAAACTGTGCTGTGTTGTTACAGGAATGCCGATGATGCCCCCTCCCATGCCAGGTATGATGCCAGGACAGCCGGGTGCCCACGGTATGCCTGCTCACATGGGCATGCCTCCCATGGTACCAGGCATGCCCCCTATGATGATGGGCATGCCACCAAGACCGGGGTAGGTTTTCAACTTCTTTATTTCTTTACGTCGGCGAAGGTTAGACATCCAGATAATGAAATCCAATTCCCAAATCATATCCAGTTGCTTGAGTAACTGTTTTTTGGCATATCTTTCTTTCTTTCTTTATTCAACTTGCAAAGCCAATACACTAGGCAGCAAATTCAGCTGATGCTGTGCTCAATACTACAAACATTACACACAACAGGATGTTAACCATACAACCTTATATGGGACGTTCTGCCGATGTGCTATGCACAATACATTGCGCAGGTGCAGTATATGTTCTGCCAAAGTTCTTATCCCAGTAGGGAAGGAAGGAAATAGTTTTCCTGTTTTAGATGGTATCAGTTTCCTGTGGCACAACTCGTTGAGTGGATGACGATGTACAATTGAAATCTCTGATTTTTTTTCCTGTTTCAAATTTCAATTTCGTCTGGCTTATCATATCTGTTACACAGCTCAGAAAACTCTAATCTCCAAGCAGATCATACGGTGGCAGGGCCGTATCCATTGGCCAGAGGAGTGTCCATTAGCCACCGAAGGCCAATGGGTACTGCCTGGCCAATTTGATACTGTCTTTTGTGGCCACCGAAAGATCTGCTTGGAGATTAGGAAAAGTGCTGAGTGGATGGCATCAGGTTTGCAAATTGTTCTCATTCTGATAGCTTTTGTTTGCACTAATTTCTAACTTCTTGATTTTACTGTGTTATCTACAGGATGCCTATGGGTCCAATGGGACCTATGGGGCATATGGGGGTTCCCCCCGGCATGGTTCCCCCCATGCACGGACACGGGATGCCCGGACCAGGGGGCCACGGGGCCATGCCCCCCTCCTCCCAACCCCCCAACATCCCCCCCACATCACAACCCCCCTCAACGTCGGCACAACAGATGCAGCAACCCCCTGCGAAACCCCTGTTCCCTGCTGCTGCACCGGTGAGTATATAACTTATAAGGCCAGTGTCAATCTATGCATAATGATCACCTAGCCAGTAGTGTTGGTTTTGTAGTTAAGTTGGATCACTATGAAAATCAGTCCAATAAGAGCTATTAGGTGTCAGGCATTGAAGAGCTGTAAGAAGCTTGATGTATTAACACTATATAATAATAATATAACAGGCTATGCAGGGTTTTTACTAGGATTTTTTTACAGCGTAGGGGTCGGGAACAGAAGGGCAGCTTTCTGCCATGCATACCGAGCATTGAGTCCCAAAAACATGATCAGAGCAGGGGTCTGGTATTCTCCCCAAAAAATTCTGAAACTCATAACCCCCCGAGGCACTATTTCCTGCTTATTTAGGGACAGATTTTGTGAAGTTATTGTATTTCCTCTGTTATGGCTTCACTGAAATTTGCATTATTTTAAAGATTTATGAAAGGTCAGAAGGTTTCCCAAAAAAACACCCTATGCTGGTTGAAAGATAGTGCTAAATCACAGCATAGGTGGTCCAGATCACAGCGTAGGGGCCCCTACCCTGAAACAGCCTAGTGAGAACTAAGCAATGAATTTACCAGTGACTAACTCTAACCCACTCAAATGTTTCTCGTGTTTCTCCAGACCACCACAAGTACCACAGGTCCTGTTGGCGCTGACTTCAAACCGCTGAACGCGCCGTCAAACATCGGCCCCCAGAAACTTCCCCCGGCAGTCTCCACGGCGGCACCCCCGGCAACGAGCGCCCCGCCCAACCCTGCACAGAAGGCCACGGTCTCGGCCGCACCCAGCATCTCCAAACCTTCCACGTCTGGTGGGTCCACGGGAGGGTCCACCAAGCTCATGCACCCCGAACCAGAGGACGTCTCACTGGTAATTATAATTAAGGAGGGGAGATGTTGTATTTGAAACAATAACACTAGGATGAACTTAAAACTTTTGTTCAACACAGTCTTACTTTGTCCAAGGTGAGGAAATGTTAGCAACTGTTAGCAACTGTGTGATTGTGTTGAATAAAAATATTAACTTCATTATGGAATGTACAGACACAGATGAGATCTCACACTAATTAAACAGTAGTAACTTGTACTTGTACTGTTTGTAAGTTGTATGTCACACCTCTGTATTCCCTGAATGTTTGACCTGTACCTGTAAAATTATTTAGGTACCTTGAACTGAGGCACATGTACCGACTTGAGTTTGACTGACCGACTGATTGATTGATTGATTGATTGATTGATTGATTGATCGATCCACAGGAGGAGAGAAGAGCCCAGATGCCGAAGTACAACCGACAGATGCCGCCCGTCTCCGTGCACGCGCCGGCCTCCACCTCAGCTCCGGTGCAGATGCCCGGCCAACACTCCGCGCCGCCTGTGTCCGCACACTCCATGGGGGGTCCTCCCGGTCACGGCATGGCGCCACCGGGTCACGCCGGGCCGCCTTTCGGAGGTAATATGATGCCGCCCGGTAATATGCCGCCGAACATGCGGCCGCCGATGCCACCGCCAATGGGCCATCCAGGTAAGCCTCCGTCGGCTAGCTCACACACGTTCAAACGTTGTTACGCACACACAAAGGTAGGTCGGCAGGTAGGGTTTCTCACGCCGCCTGTGTACCGTGTACTCCCTCTAGACTAGGGTAATCTCCAAGCAGATCATACGGTGGCAAGGCAGTATCCGTTGGTCAATAGTCACCAAAGGACAATCCTCTGGCCAATGGATACTGCCTTGCCACCGTATGATCTGCCTGGAGATTAGACTAGGGCTGCGTACTGGAAAAAATACCTTTAAAAATCCCCTCATGTTGCTTCCATGTACGCAGCCCTACTATAGACCTATAGGACTACCCTGCATGGCACAAGCACTGAACACTTGCTGTTCTGTTTATCTGTCACGCAAATTACCATGAATTATTTCATCAGGTTGGTGAATGGTTGAATTGCAAAGTTCTTTATTCACAATTTTTGTGAATATAGAACTTTGCTGTTCCCTGACACAAATTTGTATTTGTGAATGATGTCTTTTGGAAATCTCTCTTTTGATACATTGTGGACAAAAAATACAGCTAGGCAGCTGGCCTTTTGCTGAAGAGAGTTGTAGTCTGTTCTTTCACAGTCTAACACCAGAACAGCAATAGTGGCTCAGCCATTGCGTTCATACTTTGCTGGCTTGTAGCGTTCTATAACTGAGTTATCGATTAACATTGAAAAACTTGGATGCTTGAAGATTATGATTTGGCAAAGGTAGGTCAGAAGGTAGGGTTTCCAGCAGAATTCACACACAACACAGAATAATGTACAAGCAGTATTACAACTGATATAAAGCATTATCAGTTATCATGATCTTCAGCTTTGTGTTCCATATGTTGACATTATTGCAATTTTTGATAAGATTCTGTAAAGCCCCAGTGTTGACCCAAAGTTACCAGTGTTAGATAGCACATTCACACACAAACACACATACTTTTGACCCTTTTACTGCTTTTTGGGTGGTCTGCAGTCCTTGGCATTGCACTCCAAGGTAAGAAGTGGCCACGCAGTGTGTTTTATATACCTTGTTCTGCCACGTTTAGCATTTTCCCTAACCGTTGTCTCTCTCTCTGTTCCTCTGTGTTCTCCTTCCCTGTTCTACAGCAGGAATGGCTGGGCCTCCGCCGCAGGGGATGGGCATGGGGCCAGGGGGGATGCCGTTTGGTGGCCCCCCTCGTGGACCCCCCAACATGCCTTTCCAGGGGGGTCCGGGTATGCCCCCTGGAATGAGACCGCCAATGATGGCACCCCAGGGCCGGTACTAGCAGAGGCAGCGCTGCGACGACGTTTTCGTGCACAGTTAAGTGCCTGTACTGTATCCAGTGGAGGAACATTATTGCAGCAGAAACACAGAAGAAGGGACAAAGCTTTAAAAAAAACGCGCAAAATCATCCTAAAACTGCTTAAAGATTGCAGAAGGGGCAAAGCTTGAAAAAAACGTTGCTCAAAATCATCCCCAAAATCATAAAGATTGTGAGAAATCCATGCAAACAGTTTGTGATACAAACAGAGTTACTTGGGAGTAAGCCTCCCATTCAAGACTCTAATTTTATGTTTTGTAAATTCGAAAGTGTCCTGGTTATTTTTCTTTGTCTCTTAACTGGTTTTCTGCTGTTTAGGCCTGTCATATACCACACCTGCTTCTGGGACCTAGCTCCATATGCAAGAAGGCTACAATATGATAAAGTAACTGTTAAAACTATATGCTACAATGAATGCTGTTGTTCCACACTGTTGTCCTTACTTACATGTAGGTACCCAGAAGATTGACGTACGAACCTGATCTAACTAAGGTTTGTAGATGTTGTTACCCTTAGTCTTGTGTACTAGTATTCCTGATGTTTTGACAGCTAAGTTTTGAGTACTAGACAAAATACTGAAATTCGTCACTGTTTAATAATTGGAGCACTTTGAGTGTAATGATCAGGATTTGCCAGGGCTGTCAGAGTGCTAAACTACCAGTAGAGCTTTTTAGGCTCAATTTATTTGTCTTCTGCTGATTGTACAATTTAATACTGGAGGGAAATATGGTATACACACAATAGAGATTCATGTTAGAAGAAGTCTACAAAATGCAGTACATTGTCATGAAAAAAGTGGAGAGCTTGTACATGTGACAGCCCTGGTCATATCAGCCTGTTTTACTTTAGAGTGTCAGTGCACATGTAGGTTTTTGCTTTACAGGCAGTCTTGCAGAGCAAAGGTGGGAAACAAAAATGAACGATAATGTAAATTGTAAACACAGTTGTTTCCACTATGATATTGTAACCGATGTGTGGTCATGCTAGGCTGATTTTTTTGGTTCTTTGATTTTGTGTTTTGCTGTGCAAGAAATAGCCGTTAACATGACTGGCTTTAGATTACAATAAAATGTATGTATGGTTCCAGTCTTGAGCTTTTCTAGAAAAATGCTGGGCTATTTGAAACAATTTAGGACAGAAGCGTCCAAATCAGCAAGTGAAATCCCTCTTCAAGTTTTTGTCAGCTTTCAGTAAGGCTCATGATTGTGAATAACTTCTATTTTGGATCTGGGCTGAAAAGTTCCTCTAATATATTATTAGCGGAATTTACTCCTTAAACAAAAAGCAATGAAAATCAAAGAACTAAAACAATAACCTTTATATTACAGTAACTGCTTCGAAATTGAAAAGTCTGTTGAATTTTTGCTTGCAAATCAAACTACTGATTATAAACTTCATCTGTCGATGGATTTTTTAAAATAATGCAATTATACTGTATCCATTTCTGCACATGTACAGGCAAAAAGAAGGATGAATAAAGGCAAAACAAGCAAAAATTCAATAGACTTAAAAACTGTTAAGCTACAATAGCTGTAGGGCTGTGTCTATGAAGGTTTTAATAGGGTAAGTACTCGGCTTGTAGTTTTGTTTCGTGTTGTGACTTGACGTAGAGAAATGATTTTGAGTGGATGGAAAAAGGGACGTTTCGAGATGATCCCATCCCGGTAAGTCCACACAGGTTGGTGATACTACAGATACAGATTTTTGATTCACTCACATATCAAGTTTCAACCCTGGTTGGAAAGACTCTCAATACACTTTTTCGACATGCTAAAGGAAAGTGTTCGAGGACCATTCCATTTTGAAATTTTGGATAGGAAGATGTAAGGAAAAGTGTGATTAAGACATTTAGAAGTGATGGTTTTAAAGAAAGGAAAACTTTTTTCTGATTGCTTCTCCCCTTAAAATTTCAGAATGGAATGGTCCTGATTGTGTCAAATACATGTACATGGAAAAGTATATTTTGGCAACACTATGATCAGAAAAAAAAACAGGTTTAGCATGGACTTTAGTTGCAACTGAAAAAAAATTGTCAGAAGTAGTGGTTAACCCCTTACAAGTAAGAAAGTTCCTAGCATGATATGATCAGTTTGTTGTTAATTTTACCTGTAAGACTAATAATTATCAAGCTATAGTATTTAAGTCTTATTAAGCTGGATGTACGGTAGGGTTCTGACATTATACCATGCATTGTTGATCGTTTCGCTTTTCAGCCGAACATTTGTCTTGTATTGTACTTAAATAAAAATCTGACACAAGGAAAGAGTACTGGAAGATGCGTTTCTTCTTAAATGTGAGGTTGGTGCAAAAAACTTGTCTCAAGTTGGTTGTGCATTGATCTGACTTCCCATTGGATGTGTATTAGAATCTACGTGGTAATACTATTGTAGGTCAGTGAGTAAGCTGATACACAGTTTCAACTGTGCATGCGCAGCATGATACATTCTGGGTAATATGTCAAAGATCAAGGCCTGATACATTAACAAAACATGTCTGGATAATTATGTATTAAGCTTGGTCTAGAATACTGTTTAAAACTTTAAAAATTAGTTGTCTAAACCTTTGGCACATTTCCCACAATGTATCTCTCACATGTGCAGTTAGAGCAATGAACTAGCTTATATTAAGTATGGTAGTCAGAATCTTTGAAGCACTGTTTTCCTGAGACAGGGCTTGGAGCAGAAAATGGTTTTGGGCCACATGGTTACAGCAAATTGCCCGTACATGTAAGGATAAAAATTTCTTGCTCTGTTTGCTCATTTATCATTCAAAAATGAAAATAAAACTGTGTTCAAGCCCTGTGCAAGAAATACATCACCCTAGCAACAAGGCAAGTGCCTCTCTCCTTGCTCCGTTGCTGTTTCTGAAGGGTGGAATTTTCACAGCGCTCTCCGTGCTGTTGGACCTCAGCGTCCCCAACCCTCGGGTTCGGCGAAAATACTCCACTGGTTTTTGTGCTTTAATGTTTTTTAAAGACACTCTCAGATCAACATGATGCAGTTATTAGAAATCTGTAGTGCTCAGGAATGAAGGGTAATACTAGTACTTAATTGACTCTCAGCAGCGAGGCAAGTGCCCATTATATGGGCTTTAATTGCACAAATGTATCAGAACCACAGTTGCTGAGTTGCTCAGTGTCTGCTTGAGAGACATCAGTTTTAAGGTAGGAAAAAACAAAGGTAGGAAGAATGCTTCCAGACGTTTGATTTT